GGGGGGTGCAGAATCAGGAACGAGAAAGTATGGAGTATAGCTTACGCGGATGATATTGTTTTAATAGGAGATAAGAAGATTTAAAAAGTATCTTGAATGTAAGAAAATGATTTTAAGTGAAGCAAAAAMAAAAATTTTGGTATTTGAAAAAAGAAGAGGAGAAGATAGAGGGTAGAAGTGGAAGACAAAGGATTAGAAGAAGTAGATAAAATAAGATATTTAGGATACATATTACAGAAAAATGGAAAAAATGATAGGCACATGGAGGAGAGGAAGAGAAAAGCAGTAATTGCGATGAAAAATGCGTGGAGTATAGGTGAAAGAATATTTTAGAAGAGTTACGGAAAAAGAAGAAAATTATTCACAGTGCTAATGGAAAGTGTAGCGTTGTTTCGAGCGGAAATATGGGGATGGGAGGAAGATGAGAGGCTGGAAAATGTTCAAAGAAGGTATATGAAATGGGTTTTAGGATTAGATAGCAACACGCCAAATTATATATTGGAGGAAGAATGTAAATATGAAAGGATGAGAATAAAAGGGTTAAGAAGAGCGTTAAAATTTGAAGGGAAAATTAGGGATTCAAATATAAAATTAGTGAAAGAATGTATAAGGGAAAGAGATAAAGACAGAGAAAGAGAGAAAATAGGGAAGGAGTCAAAAAAGAGGAGGATAGAGGTATTGCGGGGGGAGGAAATAGGGGAGACAAGGTATATGAGAGGCATGGTTTTTAAGGAAGAAGTGAGAGAGAAGATACTATTGAGAAAGGAAAGAAAAGATAGAGAAAGGAGAATGGAAAAGATAGAAAACTCAAGGTACAATGCAAATTATAAGAAGATAAATGCAGAGAAGGAGCCGGAATACCTGAAAAAAGATATGTCAGCTGGGGATAGAAAAATAATAGCGAGGTTCAGATGCGGAAATGAATGTAAAAGCAGAGAATATTGARAAGAGGAAGAGGATAAAAAATGTAGACTATGCAAAATTGGAGAGGAGGACCTTGTGCATATAGTGGAGGAGTGTGAAGAAACGAGGAATGAAGGAAGAATTGAAAAAATATTAAGTCAAGATGCAAAAGAAATAGAAATACTAAAATGAGTTGTCAGGAAAAGAAAGGAAGCAGAGAAGGTTAGGGAGTACAGTGGTAAAGGGAGGTCGGGCAAGACAGAAAATTGAATTGACTTGAGTTGACTTTAAAGAGATTGGAATTAGAAGAAGAAGAATATGAAAAAAAGACAAAGTAAGATGATACGAAGAAGAAAGAAGAAGAAAGGAGAATAGGAGATCGTATAAAAAAATTACAAAAAAAAAAATTAGTTATGAACTTAAATTTGTTTTTTTTTTTTAGGATTTTAGTATAAATGGATTAGTTGGTAGAAATGAATTTCTATGTTGATAATTGAATCAAAAAGTATTTTCAGTTTCTTTGAAGTTAAAATAATTTTGGATAGAGTATGTAAGAGATATTGTAGTATTTTTTTAAAAAGAAAAAGTTGTAACGGAAGCCCACCAAACCGGAAAGGGACGGAGTATAAATAAATAATAAAATAAAAATAATATTTGTATATTGAAAAAAGCATGCATCAGAGACATGCATTTTATCATATTCACTTGTGTTTAAATATAGAAAAACATATTTCCTAATGCATCGAGAATTCGGTATTTTGTAATGTTCATTTTTTGGTCATTTAAATTCTTTTTTTTTTTTAAATTGGATTATTCATTAAATAATTTCAATTGAAAAGTTTTCGTCGCAGATTGTATATTGAATTTCATTTTTCCACACATGCCCTTTTCATCTAGTTTTTTGTTTCAGAAGATACTGTCCTTTCAAGCTCTAAGATTTAATATTGTAAAATACCAATTTATCAATGGATATTTACAACAATGTCAGTCAACAAAAATGGAGGTAAAAGAATGATGGGAATAGGTAAGAATATATTTTTTTTATTAAGAACTGGAACGAAGAATTGGTATAAAAAAAATAAGAAACCGAAGTTTCCGTATTTTTTTATTCGTTACAAATATTTTTCCGATTAATTTAAAAAATTAATTTTTGTCTCAGGGTCATCGATATGTTGGCAAGATTTGATTCGACCGTTTCCAGTGTCTGTGTTCTCGTAGTAGTTGTGGTGTTAGTTTTTGGTATCTAAATGTACTTGTGTGTGTGCGCAAGTTAGTAGTATTTGTTTAATATATCAATTATTCATTTATTTTCAAGACATTTTTATTTGGCTTTCACCGGTGGCTGCTGATTTTTTCACTGTTTTTTGTTTAATTATAAATCTTTTCAAATCGTTTCTGTTCACAGGTAGCAATATTGTAATAGCATCTGAAGAGGATTAGTCGTAATTAGAATAATATAATAGATGATAAGATAATAAGATGAGTAATGCAACAAGAATTTTTTAAATTATTTTAATCTTACAAAAAAGATTAAAATACAGATTTAATAATAATAATAATAACATAATTCTACGAGAAATTAAAATATTTTTATCAGGTTTTGAAATAATATGAGAGAGGTATTTTTTTATAAGATTGCGAATTCTTATTATTATTAAAATAATACTCGATGCACATGTCAGTGCATATCAGCGCATTTATTAACTGTTATGTATTAACAAGTAGTCCTTTTCTAGAATTACTTTTCTAGTAATTACTGCATAATTGCTAGTCGATTTCTGCGTCATTGCGACGCTATTTTAGAACACCATTGATATGGTGTCGGAACGCCATTTATACGCTAATGGAGCGCTAATGGTACGCCAGTGGAGTGCAATTGAAACGCTATTGGTGCACCATTGTTGGACTTTACTAAACATTTTCTTATAGTCCATAAGAAAATATAGAAAGTAATGAAATTGAAAGTAAATGATCAAAATGAAAACCTCTCTCTTTTAGAAGGAAAAAACAATAATCTTGTATAAGTAAGAAATAAATATTATATTACTTTACATATTATACAGACTTTAGAAATAAAATAGGTACAATTATAATTTTTTAAATATTACTTTTGAATATTACCGGTATGCAAATTAAAACAATTTTATAGCTTATATACAGTTTATTTTATCTAATATATATATCTTAAGTTGTGCAGTAGACAAGTGCCTAGGATTCTTTATTAATGTTAATTCGTTTTTTTTTCTAATTATAGTTATCCGCAATTCAGGATAAAAATAATAAAATTAGTTTGTTTGCTATACGACTCTTTTACATTTTTACTCCACGATGATAATTTTTTGATTTGTATCTGCCAATACCGATGAATTTCAATCATTCTCTTAACCTAGTTATTATACCAGAAAGAGTACGGTAATAATAAATAATAATAAAAAATAATAAAAAATAATAAAATTATGAGGTAAATATTTAAATTCTGTTTCTTTAAATTCATTTAACTAGTGAAATATATATATATACATATATTTATTGGATTATTTGTTTTTTAATTTAAATCATTATCCTCCTCTTCTCTTTTGAAATTTTTTACGTTTCATATATAAATTTTTTGTTTATTATACATCATTTATTTAAGTACTCCGCTCTATAATCTCAATTCCAATCGAACACCATTACTCAGCACAGAAGAAAACTCTGTTAGAACACGGGTTGAAGCAATTGAAATGTCATTTTCCTGGGTTTAGCGATATGTGAAGACTTATTTCAATAATTTCCTCTTTCACAGAGATTTATTGTGAAATATTAATTGAATCGAATGCAGCTTTAATGACAAGATATAATTTGAGATGGAACCTATTAGAAGATAATTTCAATAAGCTTGCATAAGTAGAAAAGAAATATGATAATACTCTTAAGAGATATTTATTCATAGCAATAATAAACTAATTGTTTTAGCAGAAGTGTTTAATATAATAATATAAGACCATAAAAGTTTTAATAAGAAATAATTGAAAAATAAAATCATAAATATACTTATAAATAGATTATCTACAGCCTTTTTTCTGCCTTTTTACACGTAGTAGACACAGTACTTTTCGATTGTATATAAATATTATTTCCATTTGTTCCGTGTGAATACGAAAAAATCTTGATGCTATCTTTCAAAAATCACGACAAAAATTTGCACCCCTCTGCATGATAGGCTCTGCACTTTTCAGCCCTCCTATACGTAGTAGACGCAATTCAATTCTTTTAATAAATAAGTAATACTTTTATTTATTTCGTCTCTAATTGTAAGTAAGAAACAATCCTGACGGAACGTTGAAAAAATCATGACAACAATTTTTATCTCAAAAATGTAGCCACATGTAAGACTCAGAACTTTTCAGCATTGATATAAAGAAACCGAGTTTCCTCCATTTTTTTTTTTACAATTATACCAGCGTGTACAATTTTTATTATCGACGTTTTCAGTACATTATTTTCATATTTGTTTGATTCACCTTTCTTTAATATAGCTTTCAATTTTTCTTTATCCTAAACACATTATAACAATAGTTTCCATGTAAAAATTTAGTAAGCGTAACGGTGTATGATTTTGAGAGATACTCACTGTGTATGTATATTTACACAACAAAAGTAATTATTATATATTAATATTATATCTTGTGTGTGTAAAAGGCAATTATTGCGCCAGTGCTTTCTGTTGATTCTTGCGTCATTGCAACGCCATCTTGATATGGTTTCGGACCGCCATTGATACGCTATCGAACTGCCATTAACACGCTATAGGAACGTTTCCGATTCGTGTAATTGGAGCGCCATTTTAGAGGTTCATTGAAACATATTCCAATATTGGCCCGTAAAAAAGAAAAAAAAAAGAAAAAAAGAACGCAATATTGTAAATAGAATATATAATTATAATATAAAATATACCTATATATCTATGCAGAATATAAATATTCTCCATATATAATAATCTTGTATAATGTAAATATATTTAAAATATTTTAAAAATACATTTTTAAGATTTTTTAAGCTTTTTTCGTAAAAATTTGGCAAATAGGTTGACAAGTGAAATGAATGATAGACATCGATATAATTAAATAAGAGATTTGCATTTTACAAAGCAATAAGTTACACGAGAGTTCTTACATGAAATCAAAGAACCAACTGGAGTCGTGGCTGTTTGTTCTTTTTATCTTTCTATACAAACAAAACACGGTAAAAACGTGATCCAGATTTGCAAACTCGCGTTCGTGCGGAAAGCATGTGTAAGATATATAATATGTATGTGTATTTAAGAGAGTGTGTGTGTGTGTGTGTTATTTCGTGTGACAATAATTCTCTAATTAAAAAGATGCTCTGAGGTATATTCTTCAAAATTCCATGCACTTTGCCATCTGACAATAGTATTGAAAGTCTCAGAAATAAAAAGTTATTAGATTTTGCTTGGAAGACTGAAAGAACGATACCATTCGTTCGTATAGAAGATTATAGTCGGGCAAAGTAGCACCAATTATGCGCGAACAAGAAGAAAAAAAGAAAATTAAGAGACGAGTAGAATGAAAAGAAGAAAAAGATACGTTTAACCACGACGTAAAAGCATTATAGGTATCATACATTTTTAATAGTTTAGCACCTATTCGCTGCTATCGTTGTTGGATAAGCTGCGAGAGAATTCGTAAAAATTATTGATTCTTGTTCGTTTAAAACTTTTTTCGCATCTTAATTATAACGATACGGATTTTTTGTTCTCTTTTTGTATCTTAATTTTATTACATAAGGCGAATCACCGTTTCGAGTGTTTCGCCTATTTTTGATTTCCTTTCAATCATTTTATTTGCTACTACGACGAAAATAATACTTTAGACACTTTAATGCGGCAATCGACTTTTTTTTCTTTAGTCATATGTCAGCATAGAAAACACATATATATATATACGTGTGTACGATAGATTAAAGTTTCCTTTCTTTGATATTTTATTTTTCCATCTACGACGGTGTTTGAATTCATTTTATTCACAATTAGTCTTCGTTCGTGTATCTAAATACTTGTTAGGACAATTTTCTTCGATCGCTGTCTCATTAGATGATGATGCTCCTTTTGGTTCGACGGGTTCTTCTTCATCTTTTTCAGACTCTAGGTCCGATGTTGCTCTGGATCAATCGCTGGAAAAAAAATTGATATAAGAAAAAAAATGCAAGGAACGCTTTTCTATATAAGATGTATCACTCTGACAAGTTATTCATGTTTAAAAATTCGTAAGTTAACGAATTACTTGTATTCAATTACTTGTATAAAATCATGAAAAAAAAAAACAAAAGAAAATGTTTATTATTGGAGATAAGTAATGGAAAAGATAGTTCAGTTTACGCGTATTCCACATAATTTTGAACATTTTGAACATCGAAAAATGACTCCTCTGAATAAAATATGTATAGGTATATTAAAATGAAGAGGGTCGTATTTTTGTCGATTAAATCCAACCTGTCGCTGTTTTCACTGGTCGCTTCTTCGCTACAATCTAAGTCGAGTTCACCCTGTATAGCACTTTGCAAATCGTCTATTCTTTGAAGCGCTAATCTCAGATCATCCCGAGCGAGCTTAGTTTCAGCTTCAGCAGCCTCTAGAGATTTTTCTAGCTCGCGTCTAGCACGCGTCGCTTCTTGCTCGCGAGCTAAAGCGGAGTTCGCTTCTTCACGAGCGTCTCGCAACGATCTTTGCAATCTTCTTGTTGTGTCTTGTGCCGTTTGTTCTTTTGTTCTCAGCAAAGCCGTTTCAGTTTGAAGCTTCTCAACGCTCTCCTTAAGTCGTGCTATTTGAGTCTAGGAGAAAATAACGGGATTTAATTTATAATTCAATGAAATATTATTTAGATGATTCCAAATAATAACCTCTAAACGAGCTCTCGTTGTTTGTTCAAGTTCTAATTTACTTTCCAGCTCCTTATTACGAAACTCTAATCGTCTCGTAGCAAGACTATTTGCAGTTGGATCACCGAGTTGTTCTACGGATTCCAATCGTTGACTCAATTCTGATAACTGATCTTTTAACGATGACTTTTCTGCTTCTAGAGTTGCTATCTGCACCTGAGCCTCTTGCAATTGTGTCTGCTCTAGGGAAACTTGTTGAACAGCAGCTCGATACTTTTTTAATACCTTGAAAAAAAAAAAGAAATAATATATATATAGATATAATAATATCTAATAAGATATGAATATTTGAAGAATTTTCTATTAAGAAGAGCATATACTTACTTCAGCGAGTTCTTCCTCATTTTCCTCGAGTTGAGAGAGAAGCTCCGATCGTTCGCGATTAGCAGCATTAGCACGATCCTCGGCTTCGGAACGTTGTCTAGTAGCTTCCTCCAAAGTAGCTTGCGTTTCGTTCAACTCCTGTTCTAAAGCTTGTTTAGCTTTGGTAGCCGCTGCTCTGGCACATTCGGCGTCTTCCAATTGGTTCTTTAATTGTCTTAAAGCTGCCTTACCAGTCGAATCTCCTTTCGATCTTTCCAGCATTGTTTGGGCATCTCTTAGCAATGCTCGTGTTCTCTTTAAGTCTCTTTTTAATCTTTACAAATAAGAAAGAACGAATGTAATTGTGTGTACTGTATTAAAATAAACGGTTTAACTGAAACGATAAGGTAAACTAATTGTAAGATTAATCACCTTTGCGTCGTTTCGGCATCCGCGGCACGATCGGCCCTATCCTGCTCTTCTATGGCTACTAATCGTCGTTCCAATTCGTGTTTCTCACGAAGAAGTATCGTTCGTTCCTCGTGCTCGTTCTCCAATTGAGATTCCAAGGCTTTTACCTTTTTGAGCGCGTTCCCGCGTACATCTTCCAACTCTTCGTCACGTTGCTGCATCTCCTTCCGCATCTCTTTACGTTGCTGTTCTATACTCATCTCGAGTCTCAATTTTGCCTGTTCAAGCAGTTGTACTTGTCCAGCCAAATCGTCTAATTCTTCCTCTTGATCCTTTGACCGTTTTTCTAACTCGTGCTTTGCTTTTTTTAATTGAGCAACCTCTTCTTCTGTTTTACCACCAAACGTTAATTCTTCCAATTCCTGACTTAACGTACGAAGTCGTTCTTCTTTCAATTCGATTTCTAATTTTGCGTCCTTCAAAAATGATCAAAATCAAATAAATTCATTTTTATTTACGTACGTGTGTACATCATCAGTACGTAGTTAGTTGTTACGATACTCACACTCAAGTTTTGCTCTATTGTAAACTTCTCAGCAATTGCGATTTCTTTTTCTCTCGCCAATCTCTCTCGTTGAGCCTTTTCTTGTCTAAGATCGTTCATCAAATTTTGCGTTTCCGAATCAAATCTAAAAGATAAGAAAATAAATTCATCGAATCTTGGATTAAAGCATGTTAATCATATAAATCTCATTTAAAGAAACACAAACTGGTGGTCGATGAAAAGGTTTTTCTTTTTCCTAGCATATCAACCTTGCATATCAACTTATTTTTCTTATTGATAAATATTTGGCTATGTCTATATATATAGTTTCTTCAAAGTATCATCAAAGTAGTATCACGTATCAAATTGACATTATTATTAGGTGACTGGAGGAAATAGAGGAAAATCGATAAAAGGATTAAAATAGTGAAAGACAACGAGAAAGTGTTTGGAGAATATGTTTTTGAATTTAGGGTAATCAATGTATCTGACTATTTTGACGATAAACCCTTTGCGATTTATAGCCAGACGTATAGCCACACGTGTAGCCACACGTATAGCCATAGGATGTAAAAGTTTGGCAAGGATGTCTGGTCTAAAGGCGCTACTGGTGGCCTGGCGTCAAGCCAGAAACACTTGTTGCTACGGAAGAAATGAGAATAGAGCGAGCCACCTCCCAATAGTAGTCGCCGTCGTCGTCGTCGTCGTCGTTTTTCGTCAGACAGAGAACGAAACTGAAAACGAAACCGAAAGCGAGACCGAGAACGAAGCGTATCCAGCGGGAAACCCAGATAAGCAAGTTCTCAAACTTTTTCTCAGCTTTCCGAGTTCGAGAAAATTCTACAAAATAGATTCGGGACAATTTACAATAACATTTCAATTCCGATCTTGTAACTGGCATCAGGTTGCTGTTACTAATTATAATCGTCATAATATATAACACATATTCATTGCTATTGCCAAACTATTAGAATCATTTATGAGAAATGAAACATAACTAATTCGGTAGTAGGATCGTTTTCAAATTGATCAAAAACACACGCGAATAAGCCAGGCTATAACTCACTTGCGTTGTTTCTTCTCCAAAAGGTTGTTTCTAGCAGTTTGCTCCTCCAAGAGCAATCTTAGATCATGCATTTCGCCGTTTAACTTTTGAACTCGGCGTTTCCATTGACCTACGACCTGACGTTGTTCTTCGACTTCTTCATAGGCATCGGCCAGCTGAAAATAGATATAAATTGTCATTAGTTAGAGTGAAAAAGATGCGAAAAAGATGCGGAAACGTACCTTCTTCTCCAGTTGCTTCTTCAAACCAACTAATTGTTCGAGGTCGTCCTCGTGCTGTTGAGCCATCTTTCTCTTAGTAAATTCGAGTTCACGGACAGCATGTTCGTAGCGTTGTTTATAGACACCACCATCTTCGCCATCTTCCCCATCCGACGCAACGCCGTTTAAATCAGCTGCTCTTGCGTACAATAATTCCATTTCAAGTCTTTCGGTAGTCTGCTGAAGATTCTTATTGGCTTCAGTAACATCCTGAAGTTCTCGTTCCAATCTCAAACGTTCCGATGTTTCGGCGTCGATTCTTTCGGCTGCCAACGTGGATGTCGAATGTTCTTCCGCAAAATCAGCTGTCATTTCACTCAGCTGCAATCAAAAGAAATAATAGTATTATATTTGTAATGGTATTATACACAAAATATGCATTCGTTTAAAATAAATAAACAGAGATCTGATCATATAATCGCAAAGAATGACTTCTAAATGATCGCAATTCCTAATTAAATGAAATTCAAGAGGCTTTCGTTTGTAACAATGAAATTGGACTATTCTAAAATACCTCATTCCCAGGACCATCTGACAGTGTCCTATCTTCCTCAGAAGCCCTAGAAATACTTTGTCTCGAGGAGAGATTCTTAGTCCTGCTAGTAGATCTACTAAAGTATTGATACCCTTTGATCATAATATTCGTAGCGCTCTGACTTCTTCCCATGAACGGTCTCGAAGTGTCTCGTAAATTATTCGAGACAGAGGCATAATTTTCATCCAAATCCTCCTTATGACCAAGACTTCGCCACTCATCCATGATATGATCAGTTCTTTTAAGAAATTGTGATATTCTGTTAGAAAGATAGGAAGAAGCTGTAGCAGGTTCGAGGTGAGAAGCCATAGGTCTAAATGATTGTCTGACTCGTTGCTTATCACAACTCAGAACAAAGTTAAGGCTAGCATCAAAGACGACAGGTGCTTGTTCTTTCAAGGCAACATCCTCGTTGACCAAAGAAACCACACTACTTTCACGTGGAAACGTTCGACGGGGTGCTAGAGAAAGTGACTTTGATGAGTCTAAGCGGGAGTAAGCTCTGGAGGAAGCTAACGAAAGCGACCTGGTGGTTGATCTAGCGCGATAGGATAAACTAGATGAAAGGCTACTAGATGGTGACGGACTTCTCGTGCTCGTGTTTAAAGTACCACCTTGTTGTAATCTACTATTTGGTCGTTTCATATAATTGACGATTGGTGGTAATGGAGGCCTCCTTGTTAAATTTTCAAGACTCTTACTGGAACTCGGATAATTTACCATATGTCTTCCAATCGAGTCATCTTTCTTATCCTCCGATAACCCATCAATATTAGATTCGAGCAAATTGTTACTCTTTGGTGTCATGCTTCCTGAAAATGCTGACGATGGTACCGACAGCATGACGGTGGTATTATGACACCCTCTTTTTTCTCCAAACTGGCTAACCGTTGACAAGGGATTAGAATGAAGCTTGCCGTTTCCGTCTTTGCATATTGTTTTAGCTAGAAAAATGTTGCTTGATCGTTCGATTACGTGTCGAAGAGTCGCATCTCGTTCAGCAAATTGCGTAACGTCCAACGACACTACAACGCCCGTATCGAGAAAGCGTCACGGTGCGACTGGCCTCTTCCTGGGTCAGCCGATTCGCAGAGAAAGAGAGAGAGAGAGAGAGAGAGAGAGAGAGAGAGAAAATACGCGGCGGCGTCCGGGGTGGCGGCGGTCACCTCCGAGTTATTCTAAGTGAAAGAGCAAATGAACGAGCAAGGAAGAAGAAGATGAAAACGTGAGCGAGCCGAATTTCTGGCAATTCGCCAACTTCTCTTCGGGGATTCGTGAGAAAAGAATCTGAAAGTCGATCATGTTCAAGCCGATTCGCGTTTCACGTTAACAATAAGTCTTACAAAAATACTCCTATAATAGACAAATAAGTTGATTTGAACAACTGCTAAATATACCCCTTTCTCTCCATTATGTACAGACAGGTTTACTTGGAAAAGTAGTTCTCTGGAAAGAGAGAAACTTATTAAGTTTATTTATTAAAATTCATTGATCAAATAAAAGCATGGAAAATTTAACTGACCACATTACCAGCAACCTTAGGAGATAGACCTAACAATACGATTTTTTACAGATCGTTTCGTCTTCTCCTAGATTTCTCAAATAAACGAATTCTGGCAACATTATACGAACCTTTGTTAGTATCTTCGATGGTGGGCGTTTGACGGTACACGAAACACGTGCTTCCGTTTATGAAAATGTAGCAAACCTTTGTAATTTGTATTTAACTTTTGTATTTGCTCCGGTTCTGATTCCAACACAAACATTCTGTGTTCAAATTTTGTGCGTTCTTTATAATTGAAGAACGAATAAACTTTGAATTAGATGTGCTAACAATCGTCATCTTATATTATCCCCATCATTTTCTTATATTACCACAGTGTACCTATTTTACTATTAGATATTTTTAAACTTGAAGTTTAGATTATAAAGTGAAACTCATGTCAGTTTGAAATATTGTGCGTTAAACGACTCATTAGAACAATATTATAGTATCGACGCTTAGATTTATTTGGGTCATAACCGAGTCGTCGTACCAAGAGTCGTGCCGAGAGTCGTACCGAGAGTCGTACCGAGAGTCGATCCGTTCATTCGTAAACCTCGTTTACTTGGACTTTTAATCCAATCCGCGAGACTGGTATATATTATAGTAGCACGCATCGGAGCGTACAATTAACCTAATTATACGATTCGCAGACAGTTTTCACTAAACTAAACCTGCAGTATGAAAGAAAGATTATTACTTCGAAACCGCTAACATCTTCATTAACAAACGCTTTGAGATTAGTCAAGGAGTGGTGAAAGTGAAAATATCTTCATCTATAACTATAGTAACAATCATGGAATTTTCGAATATGCTTCTGACAATAGTATGATGAATAATTTATCTAGGTAAAACTTGGGAAAATCTGTTACTCACCTTTGCCTCGAGTTTATCGTTATCGTGTTTTAAATGATTCCGTTCCTGTTCCAGTCTTTCGACTTTCGCCCGAAGAACCTCCAGTTCTTCCTGTTGATGAAATAAAACGAAAAATATATTAAATCGATTAGATTAATATTCATATAATTATATTATTATTAAAATCATCGAAAAAAGATAATACGAATGTATATGCCAATATACACATGCATATATTTGCCAATGAGACATTACTTAAGTCAGATGTTTGAAGAATGAGCCTACTAACATACAACATGATTAGCATTTTTTCTTACTGTTCTCGCCTTTAGCTGATCCTCGGTCCGATGAACATTTAAGAGAGGCGCGACTTTCACGTATAATCTCCACCATGGCCATTCTCTCACCGACATCAGCTTCCTTACATTCCTTTGAATACATCTCACTGCGAGGTCTTGCAGCTGTTGAAAGATAAGCAACATTTTATCCTATTATGTAAATGAGAAATCACTGAACGTTAAAAACGTATATATTTCTCAATCAATTATAAGCCAAGATCAACAACGTCGTCCTGTCTCTTCTACTTCAAAAAGAAATTAGTTTCTCAAGTTATTTTGTTTAATTATTATCCTTTAAAGAGTATTACACTAACACACCAGTGTTATATATCTACCGGTGTAATATATTAATACGAAGGTTAGAAATCGCTTATTACCTTCAATGTATTAAGTTTTCGACGAGCAAGGTAGCCTCTGCATCGAGCTTGAAGGAGAATTATATGTCCCGTGAGCTTCTCGTCTCTTTGAGCTTCTAATCTTTCTAAAGTCCCAGATCTGAAGAATATCTGTATGAAAAGTATAAAACAAGAGTGAGACCTTTTCATTTGACTGTGTTGGATAATAAGTAATCAAGGAGACTTGCTTTAACGAAAATTTGCTAAATATCGGTAGTAAATAAAAAAAATGAGATTAAATTATAAGAAATTCTATATATCTAATTTTATTGGCCGCAAAGTATCAGCATCAAATAAACGCCTAATATATATTAATCTATGTATGTTAACAACAAATGCAAGTGATATAGCTAACATTTTGTCAAAAAAAGATATTTCGTAATATAAAATAAGTTATTCGTAGATAGAGGGAATTTGCCAAGGCAAGAATTGATGTGACTCGTAAAATGATTTACTCATAAAATAACTTCAATAAGAAAGAACAAAATATGCTTAGGTTCGCGCTGTTATGATCATCCTCTAGGCGATCTAATCGAGTTTATACGTTTTAAATTGATCTAATTCGAATTGTTCAAGGTAATTAGCGAGCGTTACCGAGTACACGATGAGATAGTAAGCTGACAGACCTGTCTCGCAACGATGGACCCAATCGAATATGTAGATCTGGGAGTTTTCCAAGAATCTCTGGATATTTCGTATCCACTAATGGCTTTGGGCATATGTTCTCTGCAACTATCAATCCTACTAGCTTCGATGCTGGATGCCAAAGGACTATTTCTGCTAACCATAACTACTTCCTTTTTTCCCGAACGAACGAATCTACGTACATTATCCGCAGAAGAATCAAATACTTCTATAGTGCGATCTTCTTCGTTAGGAGTGATCTCGAAGCTATTCTGGATTTGTTCACTCCGACCACCATCTTTCCACTCAACGTCATTCTCGTTGCTTATATGTCCACTGTCTTCCGAACAATTACCATCCGACACGTAACCATTGTATTCATTAGCATTCTTTGATTCTTTCGTTGTTTTTTTCAGGCTTGACTCTATCGAGGAATAACCCGGCGGCACGACATTATTTTTCGACTTGATCCATGAATCTCGCAAGTTTTCGCTTCTTGGCGTAATAGATTGAGCGTTTTTACAGTTAAAGAAATTAACCAATTGCTCAATCTCTTTCGTTCTTTTGCTCAAAAGCTTTCTTTTACTATCCGGGGTACCATTCGATACTTGGATCTTTTTCGTTTCTTCTTTTTCTACATGAATATCTTCTCTTGCCTGTCGTTCCCAGTTACATCTGAGTTCTTGTATATTTCCCAAGTTTTCTTTCTCGATCCTTGTTTCTTCCATTTTCTTCTCATTATTATCGGATAACTTCGTATCGTTATTTTTTGAATTGTACTTTTCGTTGTTGTTTTTCATATCATCGACACCATCGATACCATCGACTCGATCGACAGAATCGACTGTTTTTTTTATTTGCTCTTCTCTGTTCGTTGGCTCGTCACCATGTTGGTCACCATTTGGTTCACCATTTGGTTTGCCACTCGGTTCGCCATTTTGGTCGGCATTTTCGTCATCGTCCAGTTGAGCCATCAAACGAGCCGCCCGCTCCTCAAGATTTCTCCCGATGCGAAAAAAAGAAGACTGTTCGTTGGGTAAAACTTTGTCACCGATCGTCTCGCGACAATTCTCGTAAATACGTTCGTCGATGGAACGATCGAGATCCTGCTCAACGTCAACAACGTTCGTTTTCGTTAACCGAAAAAGCGTCGACTCTCCGCTGCGATCCACCTGCGATAGATCGGCGAGAGATCGACCCAAGCTGGATATTCTACCAGCTAAAAGTGGTATTTTGCTTGGTTTTGAGCACAACGTCGTACTCGATGGTATACTTTTCCTGGATTGATTACTACAAGCTTCCATCTTCGAGCTCGACCGGACGTTCCACATGCTGATCGATCTATTCATACTTTGTCTCTTTTTTGTTCCTTCATCTTTCATATTCTTCTCACTAGGCTCCCGAAGAATCAAGGAACTTATCTCTTTCGGGACGTTTAGCAAACTGATCGAACGATCTAGATTCTTCCTCAAAACTTCCGGTTTCTTCGGTAATTTAGCAGGTGCATAAATGAGTCCCTTCTTCAAGAGACTCCTGTCTTCCAATATGGTACAGGAAGAGGATGATGACAAAGTTGTTTTGACTAATACCTTTTTTTTCTCATTTTTCTGACTTTCTGAAATTCCTCGATGATTCTTATTCAAGATCGGTTCTCTAGTTTTCAATGGATCACAACTCATTGATGAAGCAACCCGGTGTGAGGTTGTCTGCTCACCTTTGCCAGGTGTCCTCGAAGTTAAACGATTAATTCGAGATGTTATCTTATTATTACTATTCATCGAAGTCGAGTCGTTCGACCGAGATGGATTTTTTGATCGTAAATTTGCTTCTCTATTGTTACACGGTGACATCTTAGAAATATTTGGACTACTCTTGGCCTTGAGCAATCGCGAGCTCCCACTACTCATCCACTTTGTAGCGTTGTCTAACATTTTGAACAATGCGATGTTCGAGATATAAAAAAACTTATAAATAAAAAGAATTCACTTTTATTTCGAATGTGTTTTTTTCTTATCACTGATAAACCGGTCTTACTCTTGGTCCATTGAATTCCATTGCTTACTTTCTTCCTTTGAATTAATCTTCTCCAACGCGGTTATCATATCGGGTTATTCCTTATCTCTTTTCTTTTATTTATACTATATCAATTTCTTAAATGTTCGTATATTTTGGAAAATTGATCGAGCGAAGGAAAGATTCTTCCACGAACAAGCCGAAACTAACTTAAGTGCCATAAAAGCTGCATAAAGGTGAGTTCGATGAGAAACGGAGACTATAACGGAAGGAGATACGTGATATAGAGAGAAAGGGAAATAAGAAGGGAGGGAGTAAACGAGAGAGAGAGAGAGAGAACGAAAGAGAGAGAGAGAGAGAGAGAGAGAGAGAGAGAGAGAGAGAGAGAGGGAGAGAGCGATTATCTTCAAGCCGGTTGCAAGGATCTTTGCGCTCGGCAAGATGCAGTCAGACATCGTTTCAATACACGCTTATCATTTTCATTCAAATAACAGTTTGTATTTCTTTACATGTGAATAAAACAGCTACTTCTTTATAATGTGAATTTCTATATTTATTCAAAAAATATGAATTTGGACGTATCTAAAATTGAACGCGTTCGTACTGTTTAAGACATTCGTCTCGTGATACTATATTAATCACAATTGTTTATGATTATTATAGTGCTGATCGTATGGGTCGATCGTATTTTTCAAGAATCTTATCACGTAAACATGTTGAACAAAGTATCGATTTATCTAAACCACTAGAACTATGGTTTCGGAAAGTTTCGTATTTACGTTAATTATCAGACACTAATAAACTCTTACAATTAGGCTACGGAGAAGCTAAGCTATCAAAGAGGTACTTGAAAGGGCCATCGTTATTCTTCGAATTGCATTCAGCAGAGCTACATCAGTGCACTATAATCTTCATTAACGAGCCTTTTCGCGATAACGCCTTACCTTTCTTAGTCTAATGAATTAGATTGACGTTACTGACATTAAAAAAACATATTCAAACAAATTTGTCATTTCTGTCAATATTTTATTTTTATAGAATATCAATGAAATAAATGCCCGTATAAATACACCAATCATTATTGTATTTTCTCTTCGATAATTGATATTTTTTCATTTTATTCTACAAAATCTTGATTTTTAGTGATCCCGAATATTCATCCTAAACAACTTATATTTCAATGATTAGTTTTTTCATCGATTTTACGAAACATTGATTTTATAAGATATGAATATGGATATTTAATCTCGTCGTATTTGCACTTACAAATACTACTACAGAGACGGTACTAATGGTCCGGCAGGTACTTTACGCAGAGCTCGATGATGTTTACCGTTATCGAAGCAAACAGGTACCGGTGGTCACAGACTTTCTTTCTTTCTCTCTCTCTCTTTCTCTTCCCTTTCTCTTGTAGGTTAATTAAGAAATCGACGATTCTCCATCTCCATCTCCATCTCCATCTCTCTCTCTCTCTCTTTCTTTCTCTCTTCGATTCTTATTCAAATAGCATGCTCACGTAGGACACACGATACATAATTAACGATTTGTCTCTTCGAACTTCACCTTCGGAGTGAATTGAACGAGTTAGAATTACAATTTATTCATACAGTAAATTAGTCGAAAGTACCGGTTGGTGTTTAAGCGCATACCAACTCACACTATCGTGCCAAGATTTAAATTCGAAACTATAATATTCGGTGTCATATAGTTGGTACAATACTCCAAGTTATTTTATAATGTTTCAATTCCATTCTTATATATACTTTTCAGGTACATTAATTAAAATTACTGTTAATATTAACAAATATATTAGAATGATAGGTCGATGATATATCGAAGCTCTTGTGAAATGGAATTTTACAAGTCACGAATAAAACAAATAAAAAAATAAATAAATATATAAAAGGACCTTTTTAGCATTTGTTCTAGTAAAAAAAATAATGAAACAAAATAGGATAGAGCACTCGTAGTACCAGAAATACTTGTTTCAAATCGAAGAAGAACAGCACAAAATAAGCAGAATCGCGAGCAAAACGATCGCGAGCAAAACGATCGCGAGCAAAACGATCGCGAGCAAAACGATCGCGAGCATGACCAACAGAGGACTGACTGACTCGAATAGTGGGGCCTCATCTTCTCTTTCTCCTCCTATTCCTACTTTTCCTGTACCTCCTCTTTTATCTCCTCTTTCTCCTCCTCTTTCTCCTCCTCTTTCTACTCTTCTTCTTCATTGTTATGACTCTTCTTGTAGGAAGTCCAAGTGTACATTGGGTGAGTGTCTGGTGTAGATTGAAAGAGAGAGAGGACTATCTTTTTTCTTTATTTTTAACATATTGCATATCAGTGTATTTTCTCATTTACAGAGATCTACGATTACAAAGATAGACGACATGGAGACAACGAAAAACTATAAGACTGTTTTGTGAAAACCAATCGTGGATAAACGTTAAATTTTCCCTTTTCGGAAATGCATC